GGCGTGCAGTGTTCGAAAAGTATCTGACATGACACGTGTCTGACACGCCTCCGACACGCAGAAAATATGTCCGATTAAAAAAAATATTTAAGTCCAAATAAGAGACACTCGTGTCTTATATATTTTATGATTTTTTTAATATAATTTCTTGGATTTAATTTTTTATTTAAAATATAAAAACAAAATTTTTAATTTTCAATCCACAATATTAAATCAATCTCCAGCACTCAATATCCCATTCATCGAATATTCTCATTTACATTTCTCTTTGGCAGGTCGTGACTTTGGTTTCACAATAATTCACAATGTTATCTCAATATTAACGTCTGACATCATTATAATATCGACATTTCAAAACCATCTTAGCATAAAAGTCTAACACTGTCTTGACATTAATGCTCAACATTAGTAATTTCTACACCCAGCACTTGACAGCTCATTTTTGTCCGACATCATCTCATCATCAACGATCAACGCCCTCTCAACTTGAAATCTTTACCAAAGCTCTAGGACTTCTTTGTTTTCTAATCTTTATATATGCTCGAGCTTCAGGGAGAGTATTATTATAGAAAAATGGCAAGATTGAAAGGTGTTTATCATTGAAAAGCACTAAATTATGATATATTTTAATCATATTCCATACCCTCTTAATTAATGATAACACCTTTTTATTTTCTTCTTTTTATACTCACTTTTTATGCATATATATGCTGCAGCTTTTAGTCAAAATGATATATGAATTTATCTTGTTTAACAAAGATAAAAAAGCAAAGAGTGGCAAATAACAAAATATTAAATGCTTTTTAAGAAAGCATAGAAAGAAAATAATGATGCCAGTGTTACCAAAAATAAAACAAGTATACAAAATGCTTTTAGTGCATTGATAACGATTGAGAGAAGTTCCGATTCCACTCACATTATGTCCGACAGTCTTCCTTTTGGTGTTTCCTTGAAGTAATGAGTGCAGCAATTGCAAAAACCATCATGATCTGTAGCAAATGCAACCCAAAAAATTTAGATAAATGAACTTTTTTTTGGATTTGCTAAGACATTGATAACAAGCCTGTGCTCGAAAGATCAAACATCATAGATTTTTAACCAAGCAAGTATTCCAATATCAGAGTTTTCTTGAAGTTAATAGCATACATACATGGACGTATATGCAAAGGAACTACTGAAACGGCCAGGTAAATAAAACTGGGAGTAGGATTAAATAACAGTACTCAAATAAATAATCGCAGTTTATAATCTAAAATTTTCAATTATGATGATCTAACAGTAGGCGCATTAAAAATATTTCGAATGGGAGTTATTTCCAGCACATCAGTCATTCTAATGACCCACAAAGTCACCGTAATAAAACAGAATATGAAAATAGAATTTACCACACCAAAGAAAAGTATAACTCTTGATCATCAAGTTGATACGCTGAAGCTCATCCTCCCAAAAGGAAACTCTTATATAAACTTGGTGTGAAAAAATTAATCATAAAATTTGACTGCCAATAATAAATTTAAAGACATGGGACATTGGCATCCTGGAAATCAATCTATGGAACACAACCAATGATTGGAGTAATGCTTTGCTTTATGTCATGAAAGTTACACAACTGCAGCAAAACAGGAACAGGTTTAAGTTGAACAGATCTCATTTTAAGGAGCTCACAAAATTAGCTTAAAACTTCTGGTTATTAAGTTTTTTGGTTAGATTTCATGCCTTCATTACTGAAAAACTGGGTTCTTGCGTTATCCTGACACATTGCAGTCCCCGTACATCGATTTTGCATCCAGAACCATAAGTTCACGTTTTGAAAATCCTAAGCTCCTTTAAATTCAACTTGTAATTCCAGAATCATTACAAAAAAGCTTTTCATTACTTTTAAATGAAAAGTTGACTTTGATGTGAAACAGTAATTGTAATGGATGAATTGCTTAAAGGAAAATTGCACGCTTAACATTCCAAAGGGAAAGACAAATACGGAACTCCGGCATAGTCACTCGGTGTTGGAGAAGAAGTGGGGTAGCACACCAAGTTTGGGAACCTCCTGGACAGAAATTGGAGACCCTCTGAACAGCAAGACAGCCGTAGGAAATCTGCTAGGATGGCTGGACAGCAACTAAAAATGTTCTGGAATGGTCACTAGGAAAGCCTGGCCCAGCAATTTTGCGCCCTTGACACAACTTTGGACAGCAGACCTTTGAGGTTATAAAACACCTTGGAGAGCACTTGAGGGATTTTCTGGTTAGCAAACAGGGAGCAGAATCTGGACCTAGCACTATGGCTGGTCGGAGTTTCCAGGACAGCATTTCTAGTGGAAATTGTGGACAGCAATTTAGAGCAGTATCTTAGGAAGCTAGCGGGACATAAATCTGAAATTGATTTCAGTATTTATGTTGATTGTAGGACCTCTCCCAATTAGAGGGGATAATTTAAGAGCAGAATTTAAATTCAAATATTCTGAATTTTGAATTTTAACTCCATCCTCCTAAATTTGGTGGGTCTTAAATTTGGAAGATTTTTATGATGGAATTGAATTCAGATTTGAAATTTGAAATTAGAGTTTTAGGAGGGAAAGGATTAATGAGGTATTAGTGGTGATTAAGTTGTAATTGGAGAGAGAAAGAAAGGAGGAGGGGGCCGGGCCATATGGGGGAGGAGAGAGAGGGGCTTTGGAATTAAGCATGTGGGGCACACAAGGGGTTAATTAATTCTATTCAAATCTGAATTTTAATTTCAGAATTGATTGAATTTGAAATAACTCCCAAATTATTAGAATGAGAGGGAAAGTAGTTTTGAATTTCAAATAGGTTGTAACTCCTTTAAATGTCTTTTAAAATAGACAAATCCTAATAGGAAAGCAATTAAGGAAGGAGAATTTGAAATTTGAAAAGGAAGAGGGCAAGAGAGTGGGCGGCGGCAAGGAGGTACCACGGGTGGGGCTTGGAGGATGGGTGGTGGGTGGCGGATGTTGGAAGGGGTGGGTGAAGGAATCAACCGGAGAGGAAGGTTGAAGTGGCTGGCGTTCTAGTGGGGGGATGGGCGGGCGCTTTGGGTGGGAGAGGCCACGGGATGGGGAATTGGGAGGTGAAAGTCGGCGGTGTATGGGATGGGGAAGGGGAAACAAATGCCAAGAGAAATATTTTTTTTTTTTTTTTTGGAAAAATCTATGGAGCTACAAACCTCGAGCAACACCTCAATAAAACTCACAAAGAGATCTTACAAGCCGCCACTTCCTCCAGAACTCACAAGAGATCTTGGGGAACTCGGAACTCACAAAGAGATCCTTCTAACTTCCTCAAGAACTCACAAAGAGATTTTGGGAATCTGCGGAACTCACAAAGGGATATCCTTCTCCTCCCATGAACTCACTAAGAGATCAAACAATCACAAACTGTTTTCATTCAATAATTCATCCCATTACACAAGAAATGGCCTCTATATATAGGCCTAAAAAAAACTAAACAAGACACATATGCCCCTAGGGCTTACATAGGACGATCCTCTTAAGTGAGGGTAAAAACGACAAATTTATAATAAAAAAAGAAAAGTTACAAATAAATTATAAGATAACGTGGGACGATGACAACCGTCGATCTTCAGCTCTTCGGATAGGCATGGACGGTTGGATGTCCGCATCATGACTAGCCAAATATAATATGAAAATGAACCACCAATTAAACATCATCATCATTAGTCTTCTTCCAATAATTTGGAATTGGCTATACAAATTCTCATTTTTTTTTTCATTCATTCATGTTGAGTGTACCCTGAAATGTTTAAATTTATCCTTCAAAAATCAATTGAACAATTTCTATCAATATTAAATTAGGTTTACATACCTATTCTCCACCTTAATCCTCGGATAATAATTTTATCTACAAGTCTAATGAATAAATTTTCTATTCTTCATTGCTTATGTCCAAAACAGCCCATCTCCAACCTCTTTGATGTATGCATTAACCACCAATTCAGGCACACATCAAATATGAAAAAATAATCTCCTATAACTAGAGAATAAAAGTTAGCATTCACATTATTAAAAAGTTATTAAAAACCCAAGTGATAGTTTACAGTTAAGCGTCCCTCTTGAAATACCACACTACAACCATCATGTTAGTTAACTAAGACAAAGAGATTGTCAATTCTATTACAATGAAATATTTCTTCATAAAAGGAATAATTAAAAAAACACCAGTCCCCACATCTGGTCTATAATATTTTTCAGACCCTCCTGGTTCTATAACCATCAGGCACTGAGATCCATTCACTGTTCCTGGAAAACATTTTAAGGTTGTCATTTTTAAAAAGGTAACTTGAAGTGTTTATTACTTCAAGTACAAATAGGAAGCATCTGCAGTTAAAATGTTCAATTATTATATCTCAAATATACTTATCAAGAGACACTAGAGCTCCCATTGCACGCCTTTTGCATGACATGGACCCTAAAATTCAAAATTGAACAAATAATATTCTCGAATATGTGTCCTCTGTCACAACTCAACCTAATAAGACTCACCGACATAGCAAGTCCTATTGTATTAACTTGCGACAGGCTAGCCCAAGATCGAATTTTATGAAACTTTTCAGATTTTTTTCATCTTCAAATGGAACTAAAACAAACAATAGATTGAATTAAAATAAATAACAAACCGCAGAACTCCTAATGACTTTCAATATATAAAAAAGAGAAAATAACCAAAATAGTCCCTCAACTCTTTGTGAGGGACCAAAATAGTTTCCAACTCTTTTGAGGGACTAATTTGGTCATTCGACTCCTTAAAAAGGAGTATTTTTTGTCCTAACATTAAATTTTGGGGTTATTGGCATTAAATCAAGAGTATTTTAGTCATTTTTAATTACATTATTTATTAAATATAATTTTCAAATAGTA